AGCACATGACTTATGAGGAGAGGCTGAGGGAACTGAGTTTGTTTAGTCTGCAGAAGAGAAGAATGAGGGGGGATTTGATAGTTGCTTTCAACTACCTGAAAGGGGGTTCCAAAGAGGATGGATCTAGACTGTTCTCAGCGGTACCAGATGACAGAACAAGGAGTAATGATCTCAAGTTGTAGTGGGGGAGGTTTAGCTTGGATATTAGGAAAAACTTTTTCACTAGGGGGGTGGTAAAGCACTGGAATGAGTTACCTAGGGAGGTGGTGGAATCGCCTTCCTTAGAGGTTTTTAAGGTCAGGCTTGACAAAGCCCTAGCTGGGATGATTTAGTTGGGGATTGGTCCTGCTTTGAGCAGGGGGTTGGACTAGATGACCACCTGAGGTCCCTTCCAATCCTGATATTCTATGATTCTATGAAATCTGAGATGACTCCTTCAATCAATGGTTGGGCTAATAAGATTTCCAGATTGTTATTAGTTCTGTTAGTGCCAAGCTGAAAATAGAAACAAGTGCAAGGAATACAGTGGCACATGGTCACCACACAGTAACACCATAATTACAGGATTTCCCTCTCCCTCCTGTCAGATTGTTGGTACACCTGCCTGCACTTGGCAGAAGTCAGTTTGCAGAGTTTTCTTGGAGTCGGGCCTCCTGTTAAGAGTTTTTAGCTTGACTGGTTAGAGTCATGAGTAGGGTTACCATGATTGAAATCATAGGTGCCGACTCCTTGGGTCTGGAGCACCCACAGGGGCTGGAGCACCCACAGGGGAAAAATGGTGGGTGCTGATCACCCACCAGCAGCCTCCCTATGAGCTCCCCCCTGCCCGCACCCAGAGCCTCCTGCCCACCGGCAGGCCTCGTGGATCAGTGCCTCCCCCTCCCTACTCGTGCCTACCACCCGCCACAATCAGCTGTTTCGCGGCATGCAGGAGGCTGGAAGGGAGAAGGGAGGAGCAAGGATGCAGCGCGCTTGGGGGAGGGGTGGAACTGGGTGGGAAGAGATGGAACGGGGTGGGGATGCGGTCTTGGGGAAGGGGGGTTGTGGGGGTGGGGCCTGGGACAGAGCCAGGGGTCAAGCACCTCCCCGGCACTTTGGAAAGTTGGCGCCTGTAATTGAAATGCAAAAAAAAAAGGCACCCCTCTGAAAGCAAGCCTGCCATAACCCCAACCACAAGGCAACTCTTTAACCCTCCCGCAAGAGCCACTTATAGTATCTAGAGGGATAACAACAGATAGATAAGATTGATAACATCGCACATCTCCTCACTTTCGCATTACTCAAACCCTCTCACACAGACACATACACGGTGTGCTTGTGTGTCAGTGGGCAGACAGCTGCTGTATTTTCAACAGTTTTGATCTGTTATCACTTAAACTGCAGAAGTGGGAACACTTCAGCGTCTTTAGCTGCACACAGAAAGTTTTAATAGTAGATATCCCAGTGTGTTGTGATAATAACGCAAATCTTTAGATGCACGTAAAAAAGATTAAATTATTTTCCTGGCAACTGGCAAATACATAAAAAAACCTGCCCAGGCCAGTCAAATACCAGGCAGGTAGTAACCCTGGTCACTAGTGAATGTGTATTATAAGTGCCAACACCTCAGAGGCCAAAGGGGACATTTCCCTCTCTCCCCAACTGTCAGACAGAAGGAATCAACAATATATTTCGTTTGCCCCAAGTTTGAACCATTGCTGGCAGGGGGACATTGTCATTCCGGCCCCAAAAGCAAGCTCCCTCTCTTCCTCCCCGGGCCCCCTAACAGATGATGAACAGAGATTAGAGCTCCTCCTACCACCTGAAAGGTAACGTAGTGCCACATCCAGCCAGGAGAGGGAACCGGAGGTAAAAGACCAGCATCCTTGTTTCTTGCAGCACTAGCAGGAACGTGGGAGCAGGCGCATCCTCTCCTCACAGGCCTGGAGCACATGGAAGGAGGCGGAGGGCAAATATTAGCCCTTCCTCCCCCCATGGTATGGCGGGGTAGGGAAAAAGCTACTAGTGGGAGAGAGTCAAACATATCCTACTGGAGGGACTGGATGCGAAGTGGAGTGGCGAAGACATAGCATGGTGGTGACACAGATACAGGATACAGAATGCTGTGGAGGAGACCAGGGGATCCAGACCATGTGAATGAGGGGTGACACAGCACTGGGGGAACAGGACATAGAGCACTAGGGGGACACAGCACAATGCACCAATTGGGATCTGTGTTCTAGTATGTGGATATGCTTGTGTTCAGGTGCTTTTGCTCATCTTTTTTCTTCTCTTGCTGTGTTATTTATAGTGCCCTACCAAATTCACGGCCATGAAAAACATGTCACGGACCGTGAAATCTGGTCTTTTGTGTGTTTTTATCCCATACACCTCTACCCCAATATAACTCTGTCCTCAGGAGCCAAAAAATCTTACTGCGTTATAGGTGAAACCGCGTTATATCAAACTTGCTTTGATGCGCAGCCCCGCCCTCCCGGAGCGCTGCTTTACCGTGTTATATCTGAATTCGTGTTATATTGGGTCGCGTTATATCAGGGTAGAGGTGTACAATACAGATTTCCCCGGGGAGACCAGTGTTTCTCAAACTGGGGTCCTGACCCAAAAGGGAGTTGCAGGGGGGTCACGAGGTTATTTTTGGGTGGGGGGTTCACAGTATTGCAACCCTTATTTCTGCGCTGCCTTCAGAGCTGGGCAGCCAGAGAGCGGCAGCTGTTGCCCAGGCACCCACCTCTGAAGGCAGCGCCCACCAGCAGCAGTGCAGAAGTAAGGATGGCAATACCATAGCATGCCACCCTTACTTCTGCACTGATACCTTCAGAGCTGGACGGCTGGAGAGTGGTGGCTGCTGACTGAGGGCCCAGCTCTGCAGGCAGCAGCGCACAAGTAAGGGTGGCAATACCATGCCCTGCCATCCTTCCCTCTGCGGTGCTGCTGGTAGCGGCTCTACATTCAGAGCTGGGCTCCCAGCCAGCAGCCGCCACTCTTCAGCTGCCCAACTCTGAAGGCAGCACCACCTCTAGCAGCAGGTCAGAAGTAAGGGTAGGAGTAGTGCAACACCCCCCCGCCCCCCGCCCAATAACCTTGTGACCCACCCACCCCCACAGCTCCTTTTTGGGTCAGGATCCCTACAATTACAACATGGTGAAATTTCAGATTTAAATAACTGAAATCATGAAATTTACAATTTTTTAAATCCTATGACTGTGAAATAGACCAAAATGGACAGAGAATTTGGTAGGGCCCTTGTTATTTAGGATTCCGTGTTTATGCAAAAGTAAAAAAAAAAAAAAGCCATTTTTAAACCACACGTTCCCATGTCTACAGTTAGAGAACTTTAAATGCTCCTCCACTCCCTTCGGCTTTTCCTTATAGAACTATACCATACCAAATCAAGACCCTGTATACTGTCATGGCACAGAACTCCAAGGGACAAATTCTGCTCTCAGTCCACCTCATTAAGCCCTATTGATTACAGTGAGGTTGCCTCCCTGTAACTGATGTTGGTATTGTAAAATTGGAACAAACAGCCAAATGCGCTTCTCTAATATGTACTGCAAAGAAGAGCAAATGTGTGCTAAATATGTGAAATCTAGCCAAATATAGCAACAAAAGATGAACAGTTGCCCCTCCCGGTGTTGTCATCTCCTCCTTTGTTCTCTTTTAAATTTAGATCCTGATTCAGCATGTGCAGCAGTGTTCTTCCTCATCTACAGGGATGCTTTCCTGAATTGAGCCTTTGATCATAGGCTTTTTGGGGCAGTGAATCCAACTTCTGCACCATAAAGTGTAATGTACATTTATGGTGCTCTACAGGTATTAATGGACAGTGCTGTGGGGTGGGGAGTTCCTGGGGTATTATGGGATAGTCTCCAGGGTGAGCAGACCTACAGAGCAGCTTCTTTGCATGACTTGGTTCCTTGGGAACCTGGCAGTGAATTCACCAATATTTATGCTGTTCAGAACAAGAAGTTAATGCTGGTGTAAACCACAGCACTGCACCTCCTACTTCACCCTCAACCCTAGTCTGGCTAAAGGGTCTGGGAGAGTACAGTCCTAGGGTGGAAGCTAGTGGCAGCCTGGCTGTGGTGTGAGCTATGCTGCTGTACAGTGACAGCATTGGGCGCAGCATGGAGAGGAAAGCACAATGCATGGATGTCTTGAGATCTATGGATCCTTGACCAGTCTGAAGTTAGTGGGACACACGCCCAGTCCCCCCAAACGACCACTAGCTTTTCCCCCCACACTGACCCCCAAGAAAAGAATGTGATGGGTTTTCAGTGGTATGAAAGCTGTGGAGCTTTTGTCTTTGTTTTCCCCTGGATGCATCTTTGTGCAGGGACAAGGAAAATTTGGCTCATTCTGCTTAAAGTGCATGTCCATTTTTTCCCCTTCACTTCCTTGGACACTATATAGAACAGCTCTGTTCACTCTGCAGCTAGCTACACCCCACAATTCAAGTATAGGAACAAAAAGTTTCCAAGTTTTAAGCTAATCCATTTACTTTAAGTATATCTGCCATCTGCAGTGTAGCAGGAGAAATACAAATACTCACCAAAACACTGCAGTTATACTTCTAATTATTATCCCTTTGTTATCTATTCCTAATTAAGATAGACTGTGGTCAGATGCTGAATTTTTGCTACATTATCTAAATGAGACACTGAGCTATATTTATCCATTGATTTAGAGTTACACTGGAGATAAATTTTGTCCTTTTAATTTATTATTTACTTAAGGTGAGCCAGTGCAGTATTAACAGTACCTTAGACAAGAAGAGTTAATGAAGGGTTAACTTTCAATACTCTAAGAAAGTGTTACGAAACAGGAACTAAAGTATTGCCTCTGGACAGGTTGCTGTATAAATGGTTAATAAACAGAAGAACTCGGAAGGTAAGAGCTGCACAAAAAGTTTTCTGGGTAATGGACTGAAGTAGTTTCCTTATGTGAGGAGGTGTTGAGTTACAGCAGGACGAATGAGAGCTGGGTGGAGAGAAAAAAAACATCTGATCTGCAACCTTTTCCTTCTCGTAGGGCAACGTGTATAATAGTTAAACAAGAAAAGCAATGGGAATATAACGTGGAACTTGTACTTGTTGTTTCTTCAGTGACCTAACGCCTGTGTTTACCGTCGATGAAATGAAATGCTGCTGGATTAATCATGAAAAGCTGAGGAGACGCAGATGCCCCGCTGTAAAATGCCACGCAGGCAACGACTGACAGGCAGCAGGATCTGAGGTTTCCCCTGGATCACTAGTCAGACGTGTTCCAGGGAGCGGGGACTGCTGGCTCACTAAGGTAAGAGGCCCAGGGGGGGCAAGCACAATAAAGAAGACAAACAAACTTTTAAAGATGAACAAGATCCGGAAGCTTTTCCGAGGTAGTGGGAGAGCTCTCGCGTTTATATTTGTTGCCTCTGTCATTTGGTTGATCTTTGACATGGCAGCGCTCAAGCTTTCATTCAGTGAGATCAACACCAAGGTTCTGAAAGATGAGATGATCAGGAGGGAAAGGGAAAGATTCAAAGTTTGGCGAAACCTAGAAAAGACCCCTGAAAGCTCCAGAAGGGAACCAAAACCTCCCCCGAAAGGCTTTGAAAGGGGGAGATTTAGTAAAGAGAAATATAGAAATATAGAAGAGAAAGTGGTAGAGGCTGAAAATGAAATTGACAAACAGAATGAAGAGAGAACAGCAAAACCAACGGAAAAGAGAAGCATGGCCTATAAGAAAATGATTGTGCCACTTGGGACATTCTCAGTGAAACTGCTGAGCCCCTATCCCTCTGTTCCCATGGAAAAGAAAGAGAGAAAAAAGCATGTTAGGACTGTAAACTCCACTGACCTGCTGAGAACAAAGCAAACTGTTCCCAAAAGGCTTCAGCAGACCCCATTAGCTGCAGCAACAGGGAGATCAGTTGTCAAATTAACACACAGCACAGCTACTGTAAGAAACAAAGTTGCACAGAAAGAGAACCAACCTGTAACTAAGGCATCAAAGGGCATTGAGGGAAATTTAAAAATTGGGATTACAGAGAAAATCCCTTTGAATGGATTAAAACAGGAATTGCAAACGGAGGCAAACCCCAAGGAACCTCAGAACAAACCCCCAGTACCAGATTTGCCAATTCCTAGGCAAATCATCTCTGTAAAGCAAAACAGGATTGGGGTGAAAGCAATAGATGGCACCAAACACAAAACAAACAGGAGTTTGGATGTACCTGTCAGCAAGCTGGCTGCTGCAAACAGCGCCGAGAAAAAGGGATTGTCCACAAAGCCAACAGGACTGGGAAAGCTGCCAAAGGAAGATGAAACAAAAGCTGCTCATGAAAAGAAACTAACTTTCTCTGAAAATCAGTTTGTCATTATTAGTAAAGAAGGGATAAAAATCAGCATCCCAGCAACCCAGAATCTAGTAGCTGATTCTAATGGAAATTTTACAATGAGATTGAACATGAGAAAAGAACAGCAATTTATTAGCAACAAAAGTGAGGATGCCCCTAACATGAACTCTGTAACCAAGACTGCTGAGCTTAATGGTCTAACTAAGAAAGCAATTTTGACGGAAGGTCCAGAGCTAACAAAAGTTCACGTCAGGTTAGATGATAAGGAGCAATTAAGGAAAAGAAATCGAAGCAGCTATACGGTCCACTTTACAAGGGACACTGGAATGCACAAAGTCTTAACAATTGATGTAACACTTTCCCCAAGAGATCCCAAAGCTCCCGGTCAGTTTGGGCATCCTGCTGCAGTCCCTGATGATAAGCAAGAAGAGGCAAAAAGTAGATGGAAGGAAGGAAACTTCAATGTCTATCTGAGTGATCTGATCCCTGTAGACCGAGCCATTGATGACACAAGGCCTGCCGGGTAAGATCTGTTTCCCCCTGCATAAATTATCTCAGAAAAGTTTGAATTATGTATTGATCAAAAGGATTTGATCATGATATGCGTTCTGGAATGCTTTTAACCTGTACATAAATGGCCCATAACTTCAAATAGTCAAGTGCTCTTTCAAAACTGCATTGCACTGTCATTAGCCCCATGAAAAGTATCAATGAAATATCTCTATATTTTCAGCTAATGGACTAATCACAGAGTAGATAAAATTTTCAGAGGCATCTAAGGGAGTTAGGAGATTCTATCCTATTTTAAAAGAGACTTAGGCACAAAGAAACATACATCCTATTGACTTTCAGTGTGTTTAAGTCACTTTTAAAAATAGGACTTAAGCTCCTAAGTCACTTGAGCACATTGGAAAATTTTACCCAGTTTATCTGGTGTAATATCCAACATTTAAGGGCATCATAAGCAAAATGAAATACTTTTGGCATATGGATGTTTGGTTCCCAAGTGAATTCTGTCACATAATTGGTCTAAGCACAGGGCTGGTAACTGGTCGCTCATGAGGGCTCATCCTTGCTCTGATATTGCCTCCCTGTCTGATTTTTTTTATTTTCCTCAGTTTCCCAACATATATGATGGAGGTAATATTTTATGCTCAGCTATTACAAGCGCCTTGTAAGGATTAGTTAGCTGATATTTCTACCATGCTTTGAAGATGAAAACTAATATGTAAGTGCTAGCTAGTATGATTATTAAATAGCATTGTGCATACTGTACTTGACATATTGTTTGAGATATCCACTAGGTAATGCACCCTTGCCTAAGATTAATCTAAACGACCACTGAGTGGCACTCTTAGTTTCGTGAAGGACCCCTTGGAGCTCACTTTCTTGGTTGTAGCCCGGGGCAGTTCTGAAAGACAGAAGTTTGTGCATTTCAGGTTTAAATGCCTGCACAGTGTGAAAATGTAGATTTTTGTTTTTAAAATTGTTGGCGGTGAAACCGAACATTTCCTTGAAATTTGCAGATGCTCCTGTAAATTTAATTTTTGTGCTCCAGATGCAAAAGTCCATGGTCCAAATACAGATGTGGTGTGTAAGATATTCATATGCTGGTCAGTAGGTGTGACAGAGTCTAACTGAGTATAAGGGAGCCTGACTTAGTGAATTGTAATATACACATAGAGGACCTGGAAGAAGGTGCAAATTAAAGTTGGGGACTTAATTTAATCTGCTGTATACTTTTTTACATCTCCCTATTAGCTGCTTTTCTCACTGCAACCTTCTCGCCTAGTCTCTTGGTTATTGTACATTACATTTCATACTCCTGGGGGAATTCTGTGCCACTGCGCAAGTGGAGAATTACATAATGTCTTTTGCAGCTTTTCCCCCCCGAGGAATAATTGAGTCTGAGGTGAGGTGAAGGGAAGGTGCAATTATACCTTTTGCCCACCAGGGGCTGATGTGGCACCAGAAGAGAGGGCTGCTGGCTCAGGCTGGAGCAGCCAGCTGTGGAGAGGGAGGAGGCAAAGGCTGCTTTCATCACAATTCCCTGCCCACAGGGCTGCTGGAGGGGTCACACATACTGGGGTTCAGAAGGGCTAGCAGGGGGACAGACTGGGGCAGGGGCACAGGAGCTAGTGGGGTAGCAACATTGAGCCTGGGGATGAATGGGTGTGGGGATACAGGGCCACATGGGGACAGGGGCAGCTATGCTTGGCTGAGTGAGGGTGCAGGGACACATAAAGACAGAGGGAAGTTGGGTACAGGGCCACATGGGGACATGTGCTTATATGCATGGCTGAAAAGGGGGTGCAGGGATACACGGGGACAGGGCAGATGTGCCTGACTAGGAGAGGCTAGTGGTCAGCCAGGGTCTACATAGGGGAGGCTCCCCAACTCCCTAACAATCCCCCCCCCCCAAAAAAACTGTTCTATACTTCTCTGTCCCCCTTCCAAGAACCCTCCAGGTTCACTCCCAGGTTCCTTCCCTCTCCCTCAGCTTCTCCATTACCCCTGACTCCCCCAAGCCTTTGAACTGCTTCTGAGGGGTGCAGGAAACACATTTCTGTATTGTAGTTTTAAATGAATTATTACTCAAAATCCTGTATTAATATGCCTAGTAAGGAATCTATTTGTCAAAAAACATTTCCTGAATCTTTTTTGTTGTCTGTATTGTTACAGACATACTTGCTGAAAGGTATTCTGAAATAAATTACCAAAATAATTGAAACTGGCATGATTATATTGTGTTATTTTGACAAATAAAATATGCAGAATTTTAAAATATTGTGCACAGAATTTTTAACTTTTTGGTGTAAAATTTTAGGCGCAGAATTCCCCCAGAAGTAAAACTGCATTACATTTAGACTCCCTGAGCTCTAGCCTGCTGCAACTTCATGTGCTCTCTGATTTCAGTGGCAGTTGCATGCATTTATAGCAGGATTCACTACCCCTCCCGAGTGTTACTTACAGCACTTTACACATCAGTTCTGAAGTTGGCTCCATGATCAAAGGTGAATTACTACAATGTGTAACGTACCTTTGAAGTGATGAGACATTGGGAAAAACTATGATTGTTCTCCACTATGTATTCCACAGCAAGGCAGAGAAACTACAAGTGATATGAGGCAAACAAAGAGCAAAGCGGCAACACTCATGTTTCATAGAACAAAGTTTTGTCTTGAAATAGTAAAGTGTCACCTGAAGGAAACAAAAGACCCACAGAGACCAAAGGATATTCTCCTTCCAGTATTATCAGAGCATGTAACCGGTATACTATAGAACTGTAAGATACTTAGGTGACGAGTCAGAGCTCCCGGTAAGGCTAGAAAATGGGCATCTACCTTGTTATCACAGAAAACACCATAGCTAAACATGGGAGTGTTGTAGGCAACATAGCACCTAGGCAAACTGCCCATCTGATATTACAGAGTAGTACGCTATCTGAAAAGATAAAAAAAACATACTTGGCTACATGGAAAGTTGGCTGGAATATTTTCACTGTGCTGGTAGCTTTTTCATTGGGCAAAGATTTCTTCTTTGTTTAACTCATGGAGTATGCAGTTCCCAAGTTAAAATTTCCCATCAACAGACCCTGTATTCTGCAAAGCTTTCTAACTAGTGGTGTCTGATGTTGGGATAATAATTTGGGTGGAAAAAGAAGATGCAACCAAGCGCAAAAGTGTGTACCAACTGGGATAGGCCAGTTGCTAATTAAAAATCCATAACCACTTAAGTGGATGCCTTTTTTCGATCCACATCAGCCAGAGCCAATCCAAATTCTTTGCTCACTGTCCATTGGCAAGGAAGCAATACTGCATATCCAGTTTTCAAACAGCTCGCAGTGCAATTAATGTATTAGAGAATCTGTTTGATAAAATCGCCATTTTTTCTCTCACATCTCCTAATCTTTCCCATGTACACCTCAGCTCCCCTTTTAAGCCGTGCCTCAGTACTAAGCTAGTGAACTGAACCCCAGTAACCAGGCAGGCTTTAGGAACTTGTTCCATAAGTATCTTATGCCTTTCTAGCCCTTAACACAAAAATAAAAACTCACTGAGGACCAAATCCACCCAGGTGCAGAAGTACAGGACCAGCACAGGAATGGGAAAGATCCTAAGAATCTATGCAAAGAGAGATCTGAAATACACACAGTGGGATGGCCAGTGGATTTGCAAATGAAGTCCTGGACAAAACCCATTTGTGGGATTTGGCTAGCAGACAATGGATGCTACTGCACACAGGGTCATGGAAGGACTGCAAAATGGGTCTCCATCTTCTCTGAACCTGGTGGGCATGATTCCAATCCCCTTCCCCTAACTACCATTGTAGTTCCTCTGTGCACAGCTATTTACCTGGGCTTTGCTCATTAACCTGGATTTGATCCTGAGCATGCCCGACCCATAACAACCTCGCTAGGTAGAAGAGCATTATTTCCTACATGCCACTCTGCATCTTGGCAACCAGGTATCCGTGCTAGCAAAGTCATGCATCTCAGCCACCATTCTAGCAGCAAAAGAAGATATTTTAGGGCACCAACAGTCTTTAATCATCTGGAGGTGTCACTAGACACTCTTTTGTCAATGCAGATTGCGTGCTTTGACTCCATTGTACTCTCAAACTCATGAATCAAGAGAACTGAGGTAACATTTTCAGAAGTGCCCAAGTGACTTAGGCTGCTAGAGCCTACTGACTTTGAATGTGTCTTAGGCCAGGTCTACACTACCGTGGTAGTTCGACGGCTGGCAATCGAAGTTCCGGGTTCGATTTATCGCGTCTGGTCTGGACGCGATAAATCGAACCAGGAAGTGCTCGCCGTCGACTGCGGTACTCCAGCTCAACGGGAGGAGTACCGCGGAGTCGACGGGGGAGCCTGCCTGCCGCGTCTGAACCGCGTCTGAACCGCGGTAAGTTCGAACTAAGGTATGTCGACTTCAGCTACGTTATTCACGTAGCTGAAGTTGCGTACCTTAGTTCGAATTGGGGGGTAAGTGTAGACCAGGCCTTAGGCTTCTAACTCACTTAGACACTTTAGAAAATTTTACCCCAAGCTAGGAAGCAGACGCAGGTCACCCTCATGGAAATGCAGAGACTTATCACTAGGGTGTCAGACCTTGGAGCCATGTTGATTAAAACTGTCATTTAAGGTGGGTTGTTCAGAAGTGTTCACAGTTGGCTTCTCTCTGTTGCTATCTAAGTCAATGGTGAGCTGACTTCAAGGAAAGCAGAGTCAGTTCAACGCTGAGCACTTTTGAAAGTCCCACCTTTAATCAACATCGTTTGGCTCCTTTCATTTAGTTGTCATGTTATATACACATTAATTTCAAAATTTCCCTCAGCTAGTGTATCAATAGAAGGAAGAATGGACCCACCGGTCCCTGTGCAGGGAACGTATCCCTTTTCCTTCAGGCAAGAAAAGAGACACTGATGCCATTCCTTAATTTAAGGTTGCTTCTAAGGGTTGCTTTAAGTCTTTAGGGGCTGTTGCATCATCTACGGATTCATCTTTGCTAGAGGAATCCCCCACTACTTTCAAGATGCTTTGTGCTCCCTAAGAGGCTAGAAGAAAGCCCAGAGATCTGGACTAGTGATCATAAAATTAAGTAGTTAAATATGGATTTAATATGCTTTTTTATATGTTACTCTCCTATTACCACGACTTGCAGTCCATTGAGTCTTGCTTGTGTCTTCATTGTAGGGCTACTTTTTCACCCCTTAAATCCCACTTTATAGTGAAAGCTGTCACTCTCAGCATCTACCTTCTGCCTCTGCTGAGGTCACCAACAAAATCATCCATGTCACAAAGTTTTTTAAGAGCAGGGAAGGATTGCAAATTCTCTCCTCTCTCCCTGTGATAAATGCCTCTCCTGTGGTACATTCAGTAAGTGTTTTCCAGTGACTTTGAGAGTCCTGAACTCACTTCCAATCCAAAATCTCCTGCACTGCAGCAAGCTGTGTCATTGCTATGGGCCAACGTGTTGATGGTTTCCAACTAAAATATATCAAATATGAATATTCCCTTCTGGCTGATCCAGTGATGATTGGTGTCCTAAGATGAACCCCCTGTAAGTCGATTACAAAATAATTCTCATGCTATAAAAGGGGAAGGAAAGATATACTTAAAGGAATGCTAGAGAGGCTGATCTGGATTTTTCATATAGCCAGTGCTAGAAAAGAAATCAAAACTGCACTTGCAATTAGCGAGTTACTTCTTTTTTATGGTCCACACTTCACTTTCTTTCTGAGATATGCAGATATGAGAGCTGTATCTGAGCCAATAAAAGTATAATTTGATGGCTTATATTTCCAAATATAAGAAAAAATATGACTTTTCAAAATTATTCTGGCATGTAGTGCTCTGGTGCCTGCTTGTTTTTAAAGGGAAAGTATAAAAACAAATGGTGCTTTATTGTTTTATGTTCACCAAGAAGAGCATTATTCCTGTAGTATTCTCAATTAGCAGGTGGGTTGGTTGCTCTTCCTACATGTAAGAGGCCTATCCTGGAAGAAAAGAGATCAAACCTTTGTCAGGCTACATTTTATCAATAATAGAGAGCAAGCAAGCCCCAATAATGCTAAGGTATTCTAGGTGGAAAATAATATAAATTCTGGGAAGAAGAGTTTGTCAGTAAGATGCTCTGTACTCCTCAAGATCCACTTGAAGATACCAGCGCTTAGGGAGTGAATGTCCCCTTAAGGCACATATCAAAGCAGTAGTTGAATTGCAAATAGAAGATGAGAAAAGCTGCTCATCGACCTTTTGTTCAAGCACTGAAGACCCAGACTTGACCCAGCCATCACATTTTGACTGTCATGGAATAAGATGACAAATTCATAGAAATTGGAGAAATTTTATCACTCCCTCAAATCTGCTGATTTTCATCTTTCCCTGTTTGCTAGGCGAGTAGGCTACATTCAGACCCTCTGGATGGAGTCTGTTGATGAGCATTCAGCATTCACAGGCTGAGCCGGCCGGGAGGGCGGGGGGAGGGGGAATGAAGTTCATGTGAAAAGGAAAGGCCTACATATTTTGACAAAAGACAGCAAATGCTTGATGGTTTTAGATTCTGAGATTGTTTGAGAAATGGAACTTCAAAGATAGTTTTGTGTGTGTTGTGTGTGTACAGATTTAATTACAATATACCTCACGTCAATGCAATGTCATCCCACCCCCTTTGCGCCCTCAAGATTAATCCATTTTGGTCCCCTCAATACAGTTACATTGGGTAAGTTTTCTTCTGCAGTTTTGTGTATTGTTTCTGTACTATGAATAGTCCTTTTTGGAAGTGATTATTTCCCTGTACCATTACATGTACCGTTGGATTTTTTTTTCCTATACAGCTGATTTACATGCCATTTGGAATGTCAAGGAATTCAGACGCTCTGTGAATCCTCAGCATTTCTCTCAGTCTTTCTCTTCCAGTTCAGTACAGCATTGTGCAAGTGCCAAGAAACTGATGTGCTGGAGAAATAGCAAGGCCACTGTGCCCACCCTGCTTGTTCTGACCAGGCAGCACTTTCTTAAACAGAAAAATGGTGATACCAGTTCAGGCTGTAGACTGCATTTCTTTAGGAGCAACTGGGGACTGTGCTCAGGGGAGAGACACAGCAAGAGAGAAATGAAGGCATGCCAGCAATAAGGCAGCTTGAGCTATAAGACAAGACATGCCAGAAACAGGGCAGCATGAGCTATACAATACCATGAGCAACAGAGGAAACATTAGGAACAAACACTGTAATAATGAGTACATTATTCTTGTTCTTAGGCCCTGATCCTGCAAAACCTGTAAGCACATATGAAACTTTGCTCACACGAGAAGTCAATTGCAATCAATAGGAACACTCCCATGAACAAAACTATGTATCTGCTTATTTGGGGGATCAGGGCCTTAAAGGATGTTTGTTCGTGAAAATGAGATAATTGAACAGTGGCTACTTTGCAGTAGATGCAGCAGTAGATGTGAGGTGTTAAAACAGGTGTGGCACTCTGTAGGTGGGTAAGAAGTAGGGCTGTATGTGTGTGTGCTCGCATGTGAGTGAGAGAGAGAGGATATCCTTGGCCTCTCTGCTGAGACTGCCCCCACTACAAGTAATGATATATACATTATAAAAATCATCTAATGCACCTGAACGCTCATCTTTGTATCACTGGAATTTCCTTATTGGTGTTGTATCTTTATTATTCAGAATACTTCTACCCTCCCCCCCCCTTATAAATCTCCAAGCTAAACACAAAATAAGCAGCCTTTCAAAGTTTTACAGAAATTTACAGAAAATTAAATCCTCTGGCCTCGTGTACATTGAAAACATCACCTGCTGGATGCTGTTCATTTGTATTGTTGACATTTTAGGTGTTCAGAACAACTGGTTCACAATGACCTTCCAACTACCACGATTATCATATGTTTTGTGGATGAAGTGTGGTCCACTCTTCTACGCTCCGTTCACAGTGTCCTCAATCGATCTCCTCCTCACCTGATTAAAGAGATTATTCTGGTGGATGACTTCAGCACAAAAGGTAGGTGAAGCTTCCTTTAAATTCAGGAAATGAATGTGTCCCAGGGCTAAACAGCAATTTGCTTCTCTGTACTTACATTCGGTATAGGAGAAGAAATAATTTTCTTCATTAATTTCAATTTGACCCCATGTTTTAATCATGAAGTTATGCCACCTTATGCTGTAATCACAGTTTGAATCGATTCCCTCAGCCAGGATGAGGCCAATGTAGTGTTTGGATAGGAGACTTCCAAAAACACTTCCAAAGAAAGTAGTGTGGTTTATGACGAATCAGGAGATGGCATGCTTCCTTCTGAATCAATATGAAGCCAATGCCCCATTGTGTTGTGAATACTCTGATGCTTGAGGCTCCAGCTTTCATATGAGGTGTAAAATAGGTGCCCCGACCCAAGATACTAAAACACTTTCATGACAGTTGGAGTGATAATCACAGAGTCCTGGCCAAATTCAATTACATTTGGCCTACTTCAGTGGCTGTGGAATCTCACCTAGATAAAAGAACTGTTCTTCATCTCTTAAGCGATTGTGTAGTCTGAAAGCATCTAAATGGTCACTGTTATGTACAGTCAAGTTACATTCACAGTCATAGTAAACTGCAATGCCACTGAGTCTCTGCTTTTTAATTAGGGTGACCAGATGTCCCGATTTTATAGGGACAGTCCTGATTTTGGGGTCTTTTTCTTATATAGGCTCCTATTACCTCCCACCCCCGTCCTGATTTTTCACACTTGCTGTCTGGTCATCCTATTTTTAATACTTTGGTTCTCAATACTCCACAACAGAGTTCAGCCTTGAATAATTTAACAATGGGATAATTCTTAGATTTTTAGCTCCTCATGGCAAGCCCTGTACCAAATCAAGATCATGACCCAATTGTGCTAGGTGCTGTAGCACGAAGACAGGATCCCTGTCCCAAAGAGTTTACAATCTAAAAAGAGAACTGACATAAGGAGGATGAGAGGAAAACGATTTAATTCAGTATATAAATGTTAGACATTTGCATTTTTTTAGGCAAATAGATGTGTACTCTATTTTCTAGCAAACTTTCCTTCACTTTTGCACTTTCCTTTGTATGGACTAACCAGCCAGTGGCATAATGAAAATACTGGGCATCTTGCAATAGAAATGTCATGGGTGATGGTAAAGTAATGAGAGAACTGTGTTTTATGTGGTATTGTATTTCTAGGAGTGGCAGAAAAAGCAGAACTTCTAGTGTATCCACAAAGTTTAAAAAACGCAGGCCAAGATTTTCACTTGGCTTTTGAAATGTAAACAATTGTTTCCTTTGGAAAAGCAAAAAAGAACATGTAAAATTCAGGAGCCAGATCCTAAGGCTCTTTCTCAGGCAAACTTATATAAACAGGAATTGCCACAGTGAATTAGTTCAGTGGTCAATTTAGTGCAATACCTATCTGTGGCAGTGGCCAGCTATAGATGCTTCAGAGGCAGGTGTCAAACTCCACTGCAGAAACTTTCACTGAAGCTCTCGCTCAGATTTCACTCTGTCTTTACTGAGGCAAAGATCTGTCCCAATATATTTAACCCACATACGCTTGGGATTGCTGCTAACTCATACAGCTTTCTTTCTCACATTTTATTCTGAGAATTTTATATAATAAAACCCACTCCTACAACAAAGTCAAACAAATATAAAGTGCCACATGAGAAATAATGACCTGCAATGCTGCATTCCTCACTCAATTTAAGACCAGATAGATTGTTTAACTGTAGCAGTTAATATTAGCTGTTGGAATTCAACAGAAAATTTGCAAAGCACAGCAAAACACAGTCACCCTACGAAAACCAACTTGAGAGCCAGTTTTTAATGGGAATTATGGTGTTTTAAAGGAGAAAATTCTGATTTTATAAGTTCTAAAGGAAATGTTAAGTATAAACTTCAATGAGGAATGCCAGAGGTTGGCAGGGGACCAATGTCACACAGGCTGGGATTTTCAAACTGTGCAGCAATAACCTAATTCTGCTGTCATTGACATTAATGAGAGTTTTACCATTCACCTGCATAGGAGCAGAGTTTGGCTAATGCTGAACGCTTTCAAAAATCCCATCCATAGCATACATATTTTTGCCCTGTCCCTTCTGATTGGCTGTGTTCCAAACACATGATTCATACAAAGAGGTTTCCAAATAGTTTGGGGAGGGAAGAAACAGTGCTGTTAAAGGGCCTAAGCCAAGTGAAAAAAACTAGTGTGTTTCATAGATGGTTTAAAACTTAGTGAGAAGGAACTTTTTTCACTGCTTTGTTATGGCTTTAAAAAGACAAGCCAATCATTTGTAAGAATTTGCTAATTTCTCTCCTGTTTAGAATACCTCAAGGATAGCTTGGACAAATATATGTCACAGTTTCCAAAGGTTCGGCTCCTTCACCTCAAAGAAAGACATGGTTTAATACGAGCCAGACTAGCAGGGGCAGAGATTGCTAAAGGTAAGAGGAAAGTTATTCTTATTTGCCATTTTGGGCTTGTCTGAATAGGAGATTTATATTACAAAAATGTAACCGTTTATTACTGTGCTGTATATCATAGCATCTTGAACTAATATTAGAGAGAGCTGAATATTATTTGGCAAGTTTTGTCATTGTTTGGCAAAGAATTTAGCAAGTATTTGACCAGCTTGCTATGTTGTACTACTCAGCCCATCACATATTTGGAAAATAAAGGCAAAATTTGCAGGATACATTTATTGAACTTTTTTTCTACCAGCTCTAAGTAGCCGGGTGATTTGAAATTAGGCAGTAACAAGATAAAGGATTTGAGTAGGATTTGTTAAGTAAAACAACAATTTTACTGAGCAGCCAAAAAGCTGGCTCCTTTGAGCTATAGTACGTTACCGTGAGGCTCTGTATTTTAGAAATGCTAACATCCTCTGTCTTTCCCTCACCTCACTTCTTGATGCTCACAGACCCATATCATTTTGTCATTAAAATGTCTGTATTGTCCTGCACCAATGATGTCATATACTGAATTTTCTACTAACAACCAGTTTTGTCTTGTATCTCTTAAGCTTGCCTTCATTGTTTTGTTGGCTGGGAACTTGTTTGGGTGGTAAGCAGAAAGAGGTGTATGTTTTTCTGAGGCTGTTTGAAGGGAATGTGTATTTGGGGTCATGGGTCCTACCTTTTCTTCCACTTTGCCCAGGAAGCATTTTCCCCCTTATATTGTGCATTGAGTTAGGGAAGAGTGTCCCTTTCCAGACTTACATTCTAGTTTTGCCTTCTCTACTAGGAGGTGCACTTTTGAGTCCAAGATTCTGTCCAAGTGCTCATACCCACTCTGGAGGAAGCATGGAGGCAGTTGGAACCCACAGGAGAAATTATACCTCACTTAGCAAGAATTCCTCCTAGAGGCTTCTGGGAAGCACTCACTAAAGCAGCAGGGGCAGTTTGCTCCACATTCTGCATCTGACCAGCTCTGTCTGCCAGTTAAGATATCGAGCATGCTCCACCCACCTCTTTGTCTCTTACCACTCATCTCAGGCCTGGTCTACACTAGGACTTTAATTCGGATTTAGCTGCCTTAATCCGAATTAACCCTTCACCCGTCCACACTACAGAGCCAGTTAATTCGAATTAAAGGGCCCTTTAAATCGATTTCTGTACTCCACCTCGACGAACGGAGTAGAGCCTAAATCGATTTTGTTAATTCGAATTAGGGTTAGTGTGGACGCACACCACCGAATTACTGTGTTTAAGTTAATGGGGTAGTGTGGCCGCACACCACCGAATTAATGTGGTTTAAAACCGAATTAAGGTGCTTAGTGTGGCCGCGCACAATCGAATTTATACAACCTGTTTCCCAAATTCGAATTATCTAAATTCGGATTAATCCTGTAGTGTAGACATACCCTCAGATGATTAGCATCTACAAGGGTTTTAGGAGAGAGTAGGGAGAAGGGAGAGTCCTTCCCTGGGATTCTGGCTACCACCCTGGCTCACATTCCCCTCCTGTCTATGCATGTGTGCAAAGGTGGCCAGAATGTGGCATTTTGTGAGCAGGCAACACTCTTTGCAAAACAGTTGTCTGGAAATCATAACTGAGATCAAAATGTGTTCAGAATGAGGGCCATACTTGGTCTCTTCCTAGGTGGGTTCATGGGAGTAGAGTATTTTTGTTAGGGGCAGTAGTTGCTGGACATGGACTTTACTGAACATATTTCATTCTCAGAAATGAAATAATCCCCTCTTGGTTCTGCCCTCTAGGTGATGTATTGACATTCTTAGATTCTCATGTGGAATGTAATGTAGGATGGTTGGAACCACTTCTGGAAAGAGTCCGTTTAAACAGAAAGAAAGTAGCATGCCCAGTTATTGAAGTAATCAGTGACAAGGACATGAGGTAATTTCATTCTATGCCATATTGTACTTCCAGATCATAATACAAGCAACTTTCACAAAAAAAACACTTACAAATTAAAAGTTTCAAAAATATTAATTATGGGAAGGCAAACTACTTAACCTGCTAATTACTTTTCACAAATTATTTCACTAAAAGAAGAAAAAAATGTACATGAACAAATATTAAAATACATACAACTACCTCAGTTACCACAATTTGCATTTACTGTTTGGTAGGTCATGAATGTTTAGTGCTCAAAGAAGATACATGAAGAAATCTTTGGGATTTTTGCTTTAATTATATAGACAAGTTCATTTTCACTTATTCCTTTTGATTATGAGTCTGCTTAAAAACTTGATATTATAGCTTTCTTTTTCTGTGTTTAGTTACATGACAGTGGATAACTTTCAGCGTGGGATTTTTACCTGGCCAATGAATTTTGGATGGAGGCAGATTCCTCCAGAGGTCATTGAGAAAGATAAAATCAAGGAAACAGATATAATAAGGTAAGAGTATAAAATTAAGCATTTTGTGAGCAGAAATGCTCCTTCATCAGAGCTTCAAACTAGTCTTTTTTGAGCCAAAAGTTCCCCTTTTACATAAATGGGCACAGAAAGGCCAACATCCAGAAAAATCTGTGCAATTAAGTTGTGTAGGAAGTCGTGCCACCTGATGTGTGCCAACCTGAGTCACAGAGAGCACAACAGGCATTGCTCAAAATCCCATGAGCTGTAAATATTCTGCTGGATGCTGCATGGCCTCAAGGGCTTCAGCATAACAGGCAAGGGATTCCAGTCCTGGCATAGCCAGAGATAAAGGTCATGTACTAGAACAATCACACTGCAGCAGCAAATGGTCCCTTTATGTCAGAAGCCACACAAGCTTTTGCAATTAGGTGCACTTAAAATCAAAAGAACTGGGCTGACTTTGCACTTATCAGCCATAAATCATGTTGGGTTTGTTGTCAGCACTTGAAGTTAGGGGGTGGGATTCCTCAGCCAGCAAAGTCCACTTTGTGCCACTCGCTTTTTCCTTTGGTGTAGGAGGAGGGAGGTGATGAATCAGGGTTGCAGCAGAGTGGGCTGAGAGGTGATGAGGGGCATGATAGAATGGACCTCCACTCTACCCAATCCCCCACTAGCGTAAGGACACAGAGGGACCTCACACCAGCAAATAGACTAGATCAGCTCCCAGCAGCTCTGACTTGTACCAGGGCTGGACAGTGCAGGATCAGAGAGCCATAACTGGTTCCTACATCTCATTCCCCTTGACTGTGTTCAGAACTAAATGGGTGATGTGGAGAATCCAGCCCAGACTGTTTTAGGAGATACCATACGGAGTAAGTGGTCTTTGTCTCTGATTCCTTCCATCTTCCTAGTGACTGTATAGGAGAGACAATGTTGTTTCCATAGGATGAGAATCATCTGTATGGTGGCCTTTCTGGTTTATATCCATTCTTTTTGTATTACCTTGCTACTTATCTCATGACTCTACTTTGCACCACTGATTAAAGCATTTGGCTTCTAGTCTCTAACAGGAAAAAAAAAACCTCTAGAAATTTAATCTAAAATTTGAGCCCAAGATGATATTTCAGTTCCTCTGGCACCAACCTGGACAGACAGACAAACAGACAGACAAAACTGATATCAGAAAATTACCTTAGTGGTTCATTAAAATTTTCAGCTTCTGTTCAGCCACTTTGCCAAAGCGTACTGTACTTTCTTCTAACCAAGGCTTTGCCCCGTGTTTACTTTCCATCACATGCTTTTTTAAACATTAGTATCCATTTTGTTAGTGTGCTTGCCTGTCTACAGCGAGGTAACACATATGGTGCTCTCACTGTCACTTGGTTAACTTCAGATTTTAAACAGTGTGGTTTTGCTTATTTTCATATCCAATGGGTCTCTCCATTTCTTCAAACTGATCTGTTTGCTCTCTCTGTTCATTAACTATCTAGTGTCTGCTTAGTTTCCATTTCTATATGTGCAAATTAACATAGGGTGTTACACTTAGCACCTGTCACAGGGAGTCCATGATTTCCAGGCTATTCCTGTGTAGGGGTGCTGTTGCAGGTGCATTTTTATTGTCCCACAGAATAACAATGTAAGGTCTGTGGTTCATTCCTAGGTGTCCCGTAATGGCAGGTGGATTATTTTCTATTGATAAGAAGTATTTTTTTGAACTTGGAACGTATGATCCTGGCCTGGATGTTTGGGGAGGTGAAAATATGGAGCTTTCGTTCAAGGTATGCTGCTTTCCTAAATAGTAATAATGTTACTGAATGTTTCTTTCAGTCAATTTGAATTCTTGTAAATTCTATTTAAATGCTATTATCTCTGAATTTCATTGAGGCCCCAATTCATATTCTTCAGTGCTTTGCTGAATCAGGGCCTCTACTAGCAGTTAAGGATGAACTTTGAACCCTCCTGATTTAAACAGTAACTCTTGCATTCACGTATGTTGCAAAAAGGAATGGCTTTGAAACCCGAGGCTCTCCTCCCCTTTCTAAAGATTGTTGTGGAAATTACTTCCTTTTTGGCCTGGAACATGGGCCACAAGCTATGCTCGTCATTTATTTATGATTTTTTGCTAATACAAGCCAGGTGTAGAATTATTGTTCAACTCAGCAATGCTCGGAGGATTGTTTATCAGTATTTTCAAGTTAGTCTGCGTGAATAACACATTTGACTTGATTTTTAACAAGATCTCTCCCTGACATCCATTTTTGTGGCTACAGTTTTTTCCCTGAAAATAATTCCATCTATAACTCACGGGTGAGTGTATTAAAGATCCCCCTGTGTACTGACCCGCAAAGGAAAGGAGTTGTTAGCGCCAGTCATGATAAAGGCTTGGCTCTTCAGCTCAAGCTGTAGCAGTTCACGATTTTATCTCGGGAAGTCTCTGGTTCAATTCCTGGTCTATCAGCCTAAGAGGCATTTTTCATATACCACCAATTAATTGCTCATGCAAACACTGTCATTAAGGCATCTAAGTATTTGAATTGCAGAGATACTCAGGTATTATGCATAGACAAAGGCCCAAGAAACCTTCATTTTCATCCCAGAACAGGGACCAGATACACCAACTACACAGTCTCTGCTAGGCAAACCTCTCTAAATGGGTCAGGAAGAAGCAGGGCTTTGGCTGTGTGCCTCCTCCACACCAGCCTAGAAGTTGGTGAGATAGGCATATGCTGCTCCTCCCTTATGTGGCCTAGGGAGCTCTGAAGGGATTGTACCTGATTGAGAGGATTCCCCCTAGGGTAATACTGCTCCACAGTGCACCCAACACAGACCATTTCCCATTGGGCTCTCTTCATTTGAGCCTACACATAAGTGCAAGTTACACCCACAAAATTGTGCCTACAAAAATTGAGGCCACTTTTCAAAATCAGATCTATTGTATACCAGAAGGTACCATTGACCAACATTTTTATCAAATCAAACTCTGTTTGCCAGGTCTGGATGTGTGGAGGAGAAATTGAGATCATCCCATGCTCCAGAGTTGGACATATTTTCAGGAATGACAACCCGTACTCCTTCCCTAAAGACCGGATAAAAACAGTGGAGCGGAATTTGGCACGTGTTGCCGAGGTCTGGTTAGATGAGTACAAAGAATTGTTCTATGGACATGGTTACCACTTAATCCAGAAAAACCTGGATGTTGGAGACTTGACTCAACAAATAGAACTGCGGAAGAAGCTTAAGTGCAAAAACTTCAAGTGGTATCTGGCGAACATCTACCCAGACCTGGAAGCTCCTCTTGTTAAAGCCAGTGGGCTGGTATGTGAACTTTACAAGGGCAAATTGCACTACAAATGCATGTTTACATTTCTGTGTTAACGAGTCACTCTTCATTTAAAAACTTACTTTCTATGGTTGGGCTGTGACACACAAGCTCAATGACTCCTAGAGGTGCAGAGGGCCTCATACTGTCTCCCTCAGCCATGGTGAATTTCACCTTTACTGCAGATCATGGTTTAGGACAAAATGGTTTCATTATGTTGTAGTAATTTTCTTTGCTCTATGACAGGTGACAAATCTGAAGATATAGCCTATTGGTTGGTATTTCTGTGTTTCTCTTCGCATTTTCTATTGGGTGACATTTCTGATAATGAAGAGTCCATGTTTTTTGCACTTCCCTCTTCCCCCCCCCCCCCCCAAAAGACAAAATTTTACATTAACAAGCCTCTTCAGTGATAACTGACATGATAAATTACCCCATAGTAGTCAAGATAATAGTGAAACATCTGAGCAATTTACCTCATTTCCGGAGTTTATATTTCAGAAAACTTGTGGCTACAGACAGAGATATGGTGGATGCAGAGATATATTATCTATAATCTCCAGGATTTTTAGGGGTTCAATAATTTATTCATGGAATCGATATAGTACATGAACAATAATTATTGTTTTGTACTGAGAGCCTGACACCACTAGAGTGCACTAGAAATCTATTTTTCTCTTCTACAATAAAAACAGCCTCATTTCTATTTTCAAACAAAAAAGTAGAAGTATCCTCCCAAACAGTCATATCTAGGGTGACCACATGTCCTGATTTTATAGGGACAGTCCCAATTTTTGGGTCTTTTTCGTCTATAGTTTTCTATTGCCCCCCCACCCCCGTCCCGATTTTTCACATTTGTTGTCTGGTCACCCTAGTCATATCACATATCAAAGTGCAGCTAAAACCCAGTCTCCGGTACTTATACAAATGCAACAAAGGTATAGTGGACAGAATACTTTTTCAGAAATATTTTGTGTTCAGTCCTGCTTTCCCTACCCACCCCAAATTCCCATTGATTTTAATGGAAGTTGTGGTTGTGTAAGGAATGTAGCAGGATCAGGTTGTGTGTATTCTCTGAATTTACTTCCCTTTAACTTCCTCTGATGTTATATTCACACCATTCTGTGAACTTCAATGTCAGGTGAGTCTCATTTTCACAATGTGCTAATTATTCACATATTCAGCATCTCTTTATGTGTGTGTGTGTGAACAAAATGTAGATTCTGATCTTGGTCCATATTTCTTCACCAAAGTTCAGGGCTGTTGGAAACATTTCTAAAAATACAAAAGCATAAAATAGTCCCTCCTGAGGCATCATGGACATGCTACTTCATTTATAATTTCAGCATAAATTTAAATTAAAAAATCTGAATGTTAAGAACAAGTGACAGTGATCCCAGGTCACAAAAGTAAGGCGCTTTGTTACCATATGTAGTTCTGTCAGCTTCTGGAAGTCGTTCTAGTTTTAGAGTTCTAGTTTAGCAAGAGTAGCACTCCTGAAAGTAATCGGTCAGATCCTCAGCTGTGCTTGTGTTGTCCTGCTGAGGGCAGGAGCATAAGTAGTGTTACACCTGTTGGCACAGATGCTGGCTGTGGGGCAGTTCAGCCCCCCAGTACTGCTTCGATTTACCTCCTAGGTTATTCCAGCAGCCAGGAGCAGACATGGCCATACTCTGCCACACCTCAAACATGCCTCCCAGGCCAAGGGCAGTGCCAGGGGTGGTAAAGAGCTGCTCTGCTGGCTATAAACTCCCAGATATTTCTCTACCTCAGGGAATCCCCAGGGAGTCAGTGAAGCTGAGTTAAGGTTGCTTTACTTTAGTTGCGATGTGGACCGTATTTTCCAGTAGAGTTGATCAAATAGCACAACACAAATAAATACTGATTACTGAAATAATCATTCAGAAGCTACCAGTAGGATGAATAATATTAATCAAAGCTACTTGGAAAATATTTTATTAACCGCAGATTTACTCTCAGAAATCAGGATTAGTTCATAAAAGGTTCAGTAATCTAAAAAGGGAGGAAAGCGGCTACATTTTTTAATAATAGCTCAACCAGCTATAATTTTCAAATATTGCCATGATTATCTTAAAATACAATAAATATACCTCAGTTAGAATAATAGAATATCAGGGTTGAAAGGGACCTCAGGAGGTCATCTAGTCCAACCCCCTGCTCAAAGCAGGACCTAATCCCCAACTAAATCATCCCAGCCAGGGCTTTGTCAAGCCTGACCTTAAAAACCTCTAAGGAAGGAGATTCCACCACCTCCCTAGGCAACCCATTCCAGTGCTTCACCACCCTCCTAGTGAAAAGGTTTTTCCTAATATCCAACCTAAACCTCCCCCACTGCAATTTGAGGCCATTACTCCTTGTTCTATCATCTGGTACCACTGAGAACAGTCTAGATCCATCCTCTTTGGAACCCCCTTTCAGGTAGTTGAAAGCAGCTATCAAATCCCCCTCATTCTTCTCTTCTGCAGACTAAATAATCCCAGTTCCCTCAGGCTCTCTTCATAAGTCATGTGCTCCAGCCCCCTAATCATTTTTGTTGCCCTCCATTGGACTCTTTCCAATTTTTCCACATCCTTCTTATAGTGTGGGGCCCAAAACTGGACACAGTACTCCAGATGAGGCCTCACCAATGCCGAATAGAGGGGAATGACCACATCCCTCAATCTGCTGGCAATGCTCCTACTTATATAGCCCAAAATGCTGTTAGCCTTCTTGGCAAGAAGGGCACACTGTTGACTCATATCCAGCTTCTCATCCACCGTAACCCCTAGGTCCTTTTCTGCAGAACTGCTGCCTAGCCACTTGGTCCCTAGTCTGTAGCAATGCTTGGGATTCTTCCTTCCTAAGTGCAGGACTCTGCACTTGTCCTTGTTGAACCTCATCCGACTTCTTTTGGCCCAATCCTCTAATTTGTCTAGGTCCCTCTGTATCCTCTCTCTACCCTCCAGCGTATCTACCACTCCTCCCAGTTTAGTGTCATCTCAAACTTGCTGAGAGTGCAGTCCACACCATCCTCCAGATCGTTAATGAAGATATTGAACAAAACCAGCCCCAGGACCGACCGTTGGGGCACTCCGCTTGATAATGGCTGCCAACTAGACATGGAGCCATTGATCACTACCCATTGAGCCTGACGATCTAGCCAACTCCTCATCTGTTATAAATCAATATTGTTCCATTGACTTCCTTGTGTGTGAACTGAGGGCAATTGGTACCTGGCAGAATTCAGCCCAGTATAAGCAGCATTCTGATATGAACTTCAGAATGCATAAATGCCCTTAGAATGCATTTGTCTGGTCATTCAAACAGCAGTACAAGAAAGCTTAGTGCAAGCCATAAATTCTCCAGATGGTCATGCTAACAAGGTATCATGATGATGACTCCCTGATGTAATGGCAATTGTAGGGAAAATAGAGCAAAAGAGGCAGAATGAAGAGATACAAGACACCTGAGAGACCTGAGGCCACCTGAATCGCAACAAAAACAAAGGAACATCTGGAAAGAGAAAATATTTAGACACTTTTAAAAAAAAATTCTCATTCGCATCTGCACTTTCTAACTAGCTATTTCCTGCCAGACATTGTTCTGTCACTCATTCTTTTTTCCCACCAATATGATGCAAACATTTAAAAAGATAATCATAAACCTTTTGGCTAAGTTACAATTGAAATTCCTTCTTTCCAAAGTGTAGTATGTACACAACTGCTGCTGGCTCTTGTATTACCATAAGTACCAATACTACCCTTTCACTGACTGGATCAAGGGCAGCCAACCCTATCTGCGAGGGCTGAAGAGTTATCTTAGCGACATGACACAGATCACATTATATATAATAAAATTAAATAGATATAAAAATCCACAAACAGTTTTCCCCTTGGGGAAGGAGAACGAAAGAAAAGGATACATGACAGATACTAGTGATGTAATTTAATCCCCTGCGGGGAGATGCTCAGATGCAGCAGTGAAGGGTGCAGTATAATAGCCTCAATAGAATAGAAATGTATCCCACCACTTGTGTCCTGAATCCATCACCAGTCAGAGGTCTGATGACAGCAGGTAGGCTTTGCCAGCTATTATGGTTTTGGGTTTTGTTTTTTTGACCTTCTCGTTAACAAAGTGTAGCTGCATGACTAGCTCCGAGCACCTTTTAACTCTGAATTAGCTTTGGTTGGCCAAGATAACTGGAGATATCTGATCTCTGATTTGATTGGCCAGGCAATCAAATTGTCTGCATAAGGTCAATTTCAGAGGATTTTTCTCCTAACCTGCTGCTCATTTGGGTTGGTTAGACTGTGCTGCAGGAATGTGAGGGGATTTATAAATCGCTTTTCAATAACCGTTACAGCATATGAAGCAGCAATAGGAAAGCTAGCTGTGCCTAATGAAAAACTTACTCTTGCTGCCTCCTGTGTTCCAGAAAAAGGCTAATGTAAAGCATCTCTTGGCAGACAAAAGAGTTCAAGCAGATATTATGGGCACCACTGACACCAGCAGAGAATATGTTCTGTTATCTTTAGTTTGCCTAGATTACACTATGTTTCTCTTATAGAGAGCATCCAGTAAAAGAGATAATGCTAACCAATTACTTCAGGAATAACTCCGTGTGTAGACAAGCCCTAGAAGATTCTTGAATAGCTATTCCTGGCTAAATCCATGCGTGGATGCTCTTATTCTCTTATGCTCTTGTCCACACATGGAGTTAATCAGTAATAGTTAATCTGCTTTCAATTCACCCCCATCTTATTCCAGATTAATTTTCATGTAGAGACAAACTCTTATGCTAACCAGAACTCCTTGTTGTTTTTATGCTAATTAGAATGTAATACTCTTATATATTAATATATTGGGTGACCTTGGGCAAGTCACTTCCCCACTCTGTGCCTCACTTACCCCAACTGTAAAATGGGAAGAATGATACTGACCGCTTTGAGATCTGCTAATGAAAAGCACTATATAAGAACTAGGTATTATTATAATTGTTCTGTTTGCGGTGTTCTGTCTCTTGCGTTTTTGTGCCTCACTTTGATGTTATTCCCTTTTCTGAATTTCCATTTTTAATTTTGTTCCCAGATTGTTAACATAGCTATGGCTAGATGCATTACTGTGGAAAACTCCACTCTGGCCTTTGAGACTTGTAACATTAGCAACAAGGTAAGATGTATTTGGGATTGCTGGTTTGTATATTGGATGTCAAATATTGTCAGTTTTATTGCTTATGCTAAAGAATCTCCCTACCCACCACCTCACTGACTTGAAGTCCATCTTGGAAGTTCATGTAATCCTTACTGCCAGGCACATTGCTAAAAGATGCCATCTTGTAAAACAAGAAATGAGTACTGGGCTGTGTTTGTAGAGGCAATAGCTAAGCAATGGAGCCTGCACCATTTCATGAAAGCTCCAAGACCCTCCAAACCAAATAGAAGTCTGAAATACAACTCAAATGCAAAATTCCATACATGCCTATAGTGGAGAGAAAACTTTAAATACAATAGGCCCACTAGTGTACTCTACCACAGTAACAAAGCCAGCATAGAAGGGAGGGTACATGGAAGTTTCTGCAGAAACGGGGCTACTTTCCTCTGTTGTCTTTTATAGGAAGTGCCTCCTGATGGGTAATACCCTACTGATTACTAGCCAATATAGACATCAGGGCACTGCTAGGATTGATCAAGAGTAACTGTCCTAAAGGGGGCAGGGTTGGCCTTTTGTCACTGAGCGCTGTTCTGCCATCGTGGGAGGCCAGTCCTGAAGCTCCACCATTGCAATCTGGTGTTGGTAGTAGTAGACAAATCCCCTTTTCAGAATTTGTTCTGGTGCTGTCTCCAACTCTTCATTTCTACAGTCCAGTTTATAAAAGATCCTCTCATGGATCCTCTCCTCTCCCACCCTCATAACTACCCTGTACTCCGTTCTGCTCTGTGGGCCACCAGGAAATGCTTTGTTGACCATAGTTTGAGAATCCCTGTAATAGTACATTGTTAATGCAAACATTAGAAAACTTTGAGTTATTGGGCTATGTTCTGATCTCAGCTACAGCAGTTTGAGTGACTGATTGTTTTCTAATCAAAGTCGGAAGTAGTCTGGTTACTGAGGTCACCGAGAGCACTATCAGGCCTTAGACCAGAACTTTACTCTGTGAATTTACTCCAGATTCACACTAATAGAACAGAATCTGGCATATCTGGAACAATTATACAAAACCTAGATTTATGTGGCTGGATTTTTTAGACATGTAAGATAGAGAAATAAAGGGAAATAGCTCACAAAACCCAAACTGAAATCAGTCTGCTATTGTTTCTCCTCCACAGAACCAGAAGTTCAACTACACTTGGCTGAGACTAATAAAACATGGGGACTTCTGCGTAGCACCAGTAGATGCAAAGAGAACACTGGGCCTGTACCCTTGCGATAACAGAAACAATAGCCTGAAATGGTTGCATAAATCATTGGTGCCCTTTCAACCAGAACTGGTAAGTAGAGCATTTGTAATGATTTCCCCTCCACTACCACCGTAGTTACACCTGAAATAAAACTAAACAAAGGAAAACAATACTTATTGCCGGTGTTGTATGATTTTCACGTGTTTGGCAGTGAGAGAGACTATACCAAATTCACAAAGATATAAAGAGAAAAACACACATTTAGTTTGTCTCTTTGTGAATTTCTGAATAGATATAAGGAAAAAAGGACAAAAATCGCCTTTTTCCTAAGGTACACATTACTTCAAATTATTTCAGGCACTCTGATCATTAGTCTGCTAACGCAGTTTTCAATCCTCAAGATTATTTCCTCCAAGTTACATTGAAAGCTAACCAGCTGCCAGTGTGATTTCACTCCCATGGCCCCATTTACCTTTCAGGGTGGTGTATATCAGTGTGCTGCATTAGCATTGCATCAAGCAAAATGTAATATAGTGAAACTAACCACACACACACACACACACACACACAAAATCATTCAAATGACATTTTGTTCTCTTTTTTCCTACCTCTGCAAAGTCAAAGATTCAGGCTTGTAGATAACTCTAAGCATTAAAAAGTTCCATGAATAATTAGAAATGATTTTTCCCCCTCTGAAATGACATGCTTTTAGAGAAGCCTTCAATTTAGGAAACAAAAGTGTAGCTGTTGTGTTACCTGATCGATATTCAATAACACATTCCATTATTGACTCTCCTTCCATTTGTTCTTTTTAGCCAATCTAAAACAACAAAAAACCCTCCTCAAACCAAAAAGAAAAAAAAAATCACTCCTTACAAAAGCCAGGATATTTTGTAAAAATAAAAGAAAATTGTCAGCCATTTATGAGACCAGATTGCACAGTAGGTACAGTGACAATTTTTGATGGTCAGAAACTGTTCCAGGCTGAACTTCAAGCCTTAAACTAGATACATTTGATGGTTCCTGCTAGGATACAGAAAGTCATGTTTCATTTTACAAAGCCACAATACCCAATTCAACACAAATGGACACAGATAATTGTACCTGCACAGGACTGAACTAGTGACAAGCCTGAACTATATCATTTAGTTCACTGAAGTAGATCAGATTAGTTTTTAGGAAAGCCCTGGACACTGGAAGCATATAGTACCAGCCCTGTGGGGAGAAAGACAGTCGAAAGTTATCACTGTCAGTCCCCCTCCTTTGAAAACAGCCATAAAAACTCACAAGCCAAAAAGACTTGAATGCCTTTCTCCCCCACCCTCCACTGATGAAATATTATCCTTTCTGGGCCATCTGAAAAGCATAAGAACGGCCACACTGGGTCAGACCAAAGGTCCATCTAGCCCAGTATCCTGTCTTCTGACAGTGGCCAATGCCAGGTGCCCCAGAGGGAATGAACAGAACAGGTAATCATCAAGTGATCCATCCCCTGTTGCCCATTCCCAGCTTCTGGCAAACAGAGGCTAGGGACTTGTCATTGTACAAAGAAAAACAAAACATTACCCAATATGTTACTATTAACATCTCCTGAGTTTGGGTGTTTTATTTTATTTATTTTATTTTGAATATTAATGAGGGTGACTATTATTCATTATTTGTATTACTGTGGCATGTAGGGGTCCCAGACATGATGAGGGCTATTTGCACTAGGCATTGTACATACACATAATAAAAGCCAGCCTATGCCCTGAAGAGCTTTTAATCTAAATAGACAAGACAGGGTGGAAGAGAGGAAGTATTATTATTACCTCTATTTACAGGTAGGAAATTGAGGCACAGTGAGAGTAAGTTACTTGCTCAATATTAAGGTTTATTGTATCTACTATTTTTAAAAGTCTTGGAGGTTAAAAACAAAAGTTTATATATTGAATATAGTAATTGGATTTGTAACACAGGATTAAAACTGATATTTTTTTGTTAGCATAAAATATAACTCCAGAATTTGAGAATGAGACAGGCTGAGTGATTCTTATTTTGCTGAGAAATGTGGAAATTGCTTTATCGTTAAGGTTGCATTTGAGTTTCCATTTTAATCCAAATTTGGCCACCACCTAAAATCCACAAAATGTTAATCTCAGAATTAGTAGGTTAGTTCTGAGGCAAGGTAGAAATTTTCCACAGAAATTGAAATTAATTGAACAAGGAGCTCTGGAATTATGACATCCTAACAACAGATAGACATTTTGAACTTTGACTAACTCTTCAACCACTTTGCAGCAAAAGCCAGACAGAAAACACACACAGAAAAAACCAGAAAGATGGAGAGAAATAAGACTTAGTTTTTGACACCAAAACTTTCTAGATTAGATTAAAGTTCAATTTCAAAAGTTATTACTTTTTAAATCAGGAACATCACTGGGGACCTTCTGCACCACTGAGCTTAATACAGCAAGTGAAAGAACTCTAGAGATATTTAAATAAAAAAATAAGTCACTAGCATATTTCCTTGCAGAAACAGAATTTAAAATGTAAATTGCTCACTGGGGATGTGGGGTAATGGAGAGAAAACATCTTCCACCAAAAGGCTTATAAGTGGAGCTAAGGAACACCCTTAGTTCTCCCCTCCTGCAGGTCTGAGGAAGTCCACACAAAAGGGATTTAATCTTAATCTTGTCCTCTCAAACCCAGGGTTCAAATCAGGGGTTGTGGTTAGGGTTCATTTCTAACTAAAAATAAACATGGCTTTTTTGGTTTACTTCTGTGTGTGTGCAATGGAGTCAGCACTGCTCTGGGAATGGAAGACTGTCATGGGGTTTACTCACCGTTGGTGGCACTCCTCCAGGCCACCCTGGGGATTAGCTCCAGCCGGTGTCACGCCATCCCCTGGAAGTGTCTCTCCCATTGTCCTCTCATTCTACAGACCCCTCTCACTCTACGAATCACAGCTTCCTCTGACTTAGCCCTCCAGCCAGATCACTCCATGGTTCCCCCTTCCAGGTTTTTCCAGGATGCCCAGGCAGTCTGCTGTCCTCTGCCTGTGCCATATCCCCAGTGGCTGGTAGGAGAACCCAGGCCTACCCACTACTCTGGGTTCCAGTCCAGGGACCCTATACCTGCAACTATGGCCTGCTTTCCTGCAGCCCTTGTTGCTCCTTCCCTGGACTCCTTCCTACCACTCCCGGTTCCCCTCCTTTCTCTGGGTATACTAACTCCAAATCCTCCTCCCTCTTCTCAGGGAGTGGCTACAGCCTTTCTCAGCAGCCTTTGTCTGTTGTCAGCTTCCTGGCATTATAGGCCTCACCTGTTCCTGCCCAGCTGAGCCTGGTTTCAATCCATTCCCTGCTCCCTGGCTCCCCCTCCAGGCACAGCCTGTGCAGTTAATTGGCCTGCCCGGCCATCTAAATCCATTTCAGTCTTGTGTGGGAGTAGACACCACATCACAAGGGCTCCTTAACTCTTAGCACAGAGTCAGCTGGTGGAACACAACATTGCTGTTGTCCAAGTCCTACAAAAACAATGGCTATTGTTAGTTTCGTTTGGAATTGTTCAGGAATGATAGAGTGTAATGTTAGAAGTCAGAGACATTTAGAGTCCAGGGGGCATTAGGACAATCCTAAAGGTGATTACATTTGGAGCCTAACAGGACTGAAGCATTTTGTGGGGTTCTGGCAAATGCTATTTCTGTAACAAAAACAAACAAACAAACAAAAAATTGTCATTCCTGAAAAGGATACAATTTGGAGAGGGCACCTAATATAACCAAATCTCTAACTTTCTAATGTGCGTGTCACCGTACTGTCTGCAAGAAAAAGGAGTATTATTGTAATCCAGTTAGGTTCACATTCACCGGCTTTCCATATGGGACTTGATGCTGTTTTGCTGAAAGATCATTTGGAAGCTGATTACAAAGGAGACTAGTTTGAGTTACTATATAACAAGGGTTAAAAACTAGTCACTCCAGCAACTGAATATTGCAAACCAGAAAACAAGGGGGAAAATGGGTTAATGCTGGCCACAGGAATAGTGAAGTCCTTACCCCTCATCAGGTATCATAATTCTCATCAGAACAAAGGCATGTTCAATGAATTTGTCATACACATACAAAGCCCCATTACTTGTTCAAATAAAATAGTCTGTTGGTGATTTCACTAATATTTCACTAAGATTCATGACTGAAATTATGCTATCAAATATTATACAGAGTAAAGCAATAATGTAAAAATGTCCCTACCACTGAGGATACTTGTAGTCTTGCAATACTTGCAATAAGTATAAGTAGGTTAAAAAATGCACACATAAGTGCAAAAGGATAAGAATAAGGCCCCTAATCATTCAAACTCCTCACGATTTCATAATCCAATTTAGCATCCCAGCTCTTGGACTTAATTAACAAATTACCTAACACACTTTTCATCATAGTAAGTGTGCTTTTACTTCATCAGTTGCAAAATACCACAGTATGAAAACCAAAGTCTCCTGCCATACGTTATCCTATATTGCAAATGCCATCTGGAGTTATTTCCTTTGCATGATAATTACCATTCAGACAGCAAGCAAACTAATCCGTTAATTTCCAAAGAATTAAAATCCTATGAAGCACAGAAGGTTTAATATAGTTCTAGTTCAACAACAGGTGTAAACTTTGGATCCCACCCAAAATTCCCTTTAAGCCTATGAATGAATCATTACATAATGCAGAAATGCAAAAATGGGCACATTCTTGGGGATCAAAAATCTCCACTGGGGAAAACTGAGTATAATTTCTGAAGCTTTTTTTTTCCAGTTGCAAATAATAACAATTGCTGTATGAGTCCTGTTACCTATTGTCCTGTGCTGTTTCTCTTTAGATGGATCACATGGTTTTAGAACACCTTCAGCAGCCAACATGTTTGGAAGTGGATCAGTCTCACAAAATCCTGAGGGTTAATGCCTGTGATGCCTCAAATCCTTATCAGAAATGGCAGTTTGGCAATTATTATGCTGACTGAAGAGAACACGATCAAAACAGAAGCAGAGAATTCAAATCGTGTGAATTCAAGAATGACATCTGTGAGACTTGTGACAGCAATTACAAAATTGGAGGTTCATTTCCTAATGGTAATTTAAATCCATCATTTTAAATCACCATATTGAGAGATCAAAATATCAAGCAACAGCACATCTGGTTTGATATGGTTTAAAACATTCAGGCATATTTTCCACTCACTGTGGGGCACTTGGGGAAGGTTGAGTGAAAGTTTTTTCAGTAAATGGAAATACTTTCTAAAGTTCCTCATTCCCACCTTAAGCAGACCTTCACTGACTGGCTTCAGAGAGATTAATGCAAACTACCAGAAATAGTTCCAGGGTTCAATCCCTATGACTGCACATAGCATCTTGTGCTGCTGTTTGGAAGATCCACATTTGCTCATTTATCCCTCAACAAGCCAACAAAATGAAAGTACCTAGGCCCAGTACCTAAAAATCCATCCAGTATCACAGGAATCTGCTCCTACCAAATTGGATTCACTGATTCTGAAAGGTAGGTGCCTGGAGCCACTTTTGAAGCTTGGTTTCCCATGACAAAAGCCCGTCTTTAATCACAAAAAATATAAATCTTTCAGCACTTCTAACCTAGCAGCAGGCAAGGCCCTATAAGTGCTGTATTTGCATACAGGCACCGTGAATTTGCTACCTTGGTTTGACCTCCTGCTTCCTAGATGGGCAAGGAGTGGTTAGGCTGCAAAGCAGTGGGATGTGCCTTATCTAGCACTACAGCTAACGCTCTGGGCCAGTGCAAGAACAGTATGAATGCAGTAGACTTTAAAGAGATTCTCCATTCAGCCCTTCTCAGCCAGAAAGAAGTGCCTCAGCACAGAGCCATGAAAAGGGAAAACAAACCAAAGGGTGTGGGAACCGTGTGGTGATGGGGATGAAGATCCTCAGAAAGGGCCTGCTTAACCTGAAAAAAAGAGACCTGCAGGGACTTGCTTCTCGCTACTAGTGAATCCAAGATGGCAGCCACACACTGTTGGGCATGATTTCATGGTTCCTGGGTTGGCCACATGTTATGCGATAGTACTGTATATGCATTCAATGCAAAGCAAACCAGAAAAGCTTAAATAATGTTAAACTTTTAACACAAGGGGACAAAAGCTGAGAAACTCTGAGTCTATGTTAATTGCCTGTTCCTTTCTCATGCCACTATGGAAAAAAATGGAATCTTTGTTTTTCTTAGAATAGAAAATGATCTGTCATGGAAGCTTTGAATGTTTTTGTACCTAAGATATCTCCTTCTGCTCTTCCAGATGAATGAGAAGGTGGGCAGTTGTTAAAAGTATGTAATAGCAGATTAGGCTTTTGCTGAATACATTCCTGTCTGTTGAGTATAGACATCCATATATTTTTTTAAATCCATTTGATTGGCTGAACTGTAGCTGGTCTGTGATGCAAACACATAGCTAGGGCACGTTCTGCACTTCACTGGAGGAGCCGTGCATTGGTGGGAGCAGAGTGGCGGTGGCAGCTGTGTACCAGGTAGAAGCGCAGGACAAGGATGTCTCAGGGTGAGCAGAACGCAGCATGTGCACTAGCTGACTGCAGAGGGGAGAAGTCTCCTAACTGACTTTGCCCCACTTGAAGCCCCAGCATTTCGGATGGCATAATAGCTGGTGCTATCTCCTTCTGCTCCCCTCAGCACTAAATAGTTCCTACCTTGCTGCTAGTAGGGAGAGAGGATGGAAGTGACTCCCTGTGTCTGCTTATGCCCCAGTGCAACCATATAGCAGAGGGCAGGAGCTAGCCTTGGTATTGTATCGATTAATGATAAAGAGCATGTGATGTTACACTTTGACGGGCAAAGCAGTTGTGATAAGAATTGGCTAAAACGTTTGCTTTCTACAAACCAAGCTTGAACCTTTTGGAAAGTGTAGGATTGGTTTACTAAAAGAGCACCCCCAGCAGGGCTCTGGAGCCCCTCTCATAGCCTCACCATCCAACTCCTTTCTGATGGATCTCTTTGCCTGGCCTACACTAGCACCTATCCACAGTCCTTCAACTCCCCTCTTATCCTCTTATGACTACCCATTACCTCCTTCAAACGACCACCAGCTATGCTGACCAGTTCAATAGGCATGGCAGGGTCATGAGCCTTTGGACTGGCTAATACCACTAGCAGCAGTAGCTCCTTGCAGGCCCTGTGCCCAGCTGAACACATGGACTCGTACCGTCCTGAGTCCCTTGTACACTCCCGCAGAGCCAGAGCACAATCGAGCCTTATATTTGTTATTTTGCTTTGCAGTCTCTTCACTGGAAAGCAACCAAAGGGAACACTGATAAAAGTTGCTCCCAGAGAAAGGGTATAATGGTGGCTCTTTGCTCTGATCTGCCCTTTTTGTGTGTATAGAACCCGCCAGACTTGATTTAGAATATTCATAGGAGGGGGAGACGGCGAGTAGGAGCTCCACATGTCCAGGAACAGGAGTTATTCTGTGCATGAAGATAGGGTAGAAGCTCTGAGTGAAGATCCACCCTGCAGAATTGAAGGCAAAATTGTCCTCTAAGACTGTGTGTCCCATATTTCCATTTCAGACTTTCCAGATAAGTTTTAAGCCTATGAACATAGAAGCTGAGGACACATAAGTGCTGACCCTTCTCTCATGAAGAGTTGATTTGGAAGATGGGTTTCCATGTTTACTCTCTTAGATCAAAGTGCTACAATTGTTAAGTCAGTGGGACATATAGGGCTAGATTCTCCCCTGCATCTGAACTCCACCCAACACAGAGGAATTGGGGGAGCTGTTAGGGAGCAAGTTAGAGCCCCTGAATCTGGCCTGATCCTAGCCAGTCTGCAATGGCTCAGCTCAGGGGCAGGTCTGATTTACATCTCTGACCTAGGATCCCTAGGGGACCCTACACCAGTGGAGGATTTGTTCAGTGCAGCAGACCTCTGCTAGCCTCCTTATCCACCCCAATACTCCCTTGTGGCATGGGTGGGAGGCTGATGCAGGAGCCGGCTCTGCCAGCTTTATTGCAGCAGAGAGTTTCCTTACACCAAGGGAATTCTTCACTGGCTGTTTGCAGCCAGAATCTAGCCCATAATATTAAAATCCCCATTAAAGTAACTAAGAGTTTTGTCTGAAAAAGGGCTGCAGAATTTAGTGCTTCCTGTTCTTGACCTTATTCATGTACCTCACATGGAAGATAGAATTAGATGTAGTGCAGTAAAAATGAGAACTCACCTTTACTCTTACAGTTATTTGGAATCAATACACTCAGTTGACAAAACTCAACATACTGAATACCCCTATGAATTCATCCTCATGTACATTTTTCATACTGTGAAACTTTTTAAAAGATCTTTTATGTCTGTTGTATGGGAAGGGGGGAATCGTACTGGAATAACTGTCATCATTTAGTGAAAGAACATTTAGTTACTTTTTTGATAGGGTCAAATTCAGCTGCGACATGATATCTACATCCAGGGTATCGTAATGTTTTGCACATGGGACTTTCTTCTCGAGCTTTTTATTATGCTTTTTTCATGTTTTTGTTGTTTTGTGACAAACTGGAGACTCGTGTAAGTGTGAATGGTCCATAATAGAAATGTAATTCTTACACTCCTTGGCCATTGCCTTGTATGTTGAAAAATTGGTTTATCCAAATACGAGCACATTGCCTTATTTCTCTACATACATAGGACTGAACTTTCAACTCAGTTCGTATCTTGTTGTTCATGACAGCCAAGCCTTCGCCATCTCTAATGTTTACAGGCGGTTACACAATAACTCGTCTTTTCTCTTTGATTTTTCAAAAGGGCCTCTGTATAATTTTACCTTTCACATCAAGGTGCAACACTGACAGTATTTGACAGGCTGAGCCTGCCAAAATATTGATTTGCCTAACAGACTTTCACAGTTGGCTTCTATCCTAACTGTCTTCCTGATTTTTTTCCCCTTTCGTAATACAACTAGCCTGCAGTCACTATCAGAAAAATTACACAGATGTTGTTTGTGCAGTCATGTTTTATCAGGAGCATGAATTTCATTAAATTCTGCTTGCTGACATTCAATCATTTGTCAGTTAACATGCACCAAATGGTCATATGTCATGGTCACTTCACATTTCCACTCTTGTCACTTGTACTGTTATTCCTGATTTGTGTAAATGTTCACTTCAGTGTTGGTATCTCTTACTTAACGTCTCTAGCATGTCCCTAGGGACTACTGGTAATAATACTGTTGCTGTTCTGTTACACAATATTAAGAAACACTCAGATTATACCAATCAACGTTGTCTGAGAACATTTTTCTGGCATACTCAGTAAATATTCAAAGAAGAAGCCTGCATATGTTTTTCTTGGTTTCATGGAACCACTCACAATTATATTTGTCCAAAAGGGCCTTCTAGAGCCCACGAGACAGTGAAGAACACCTTTATCCCTGCTCACCCATTGACATTCCCATGTAAGAGACCAGATTACCATTACCACCTCCAGCGTCCTTAGTTCACAGATGCAAATGAAAATCACTTCTAATTAGAAAAATGTGAGACCATTTACTAGAATGAGCCTTACTCCCTTTGGCAACTCTTCTACAAGGGTGCATATGTTACCAGCTCTTCTGTAGCCATGAGTGGCTCTGACTTGCTTGGCTGGGATACAGACAGATGATTATCATGCTCAACTTTTCAAAAATAAAATAAACAATTTTAACACTTCCAGTGATGTCATTCACAACCTGAGTACCAAACACTGCACTCTGATACCTTTCGTGTCTTTGAATCATAGACATTAGAGATGCACAAGACCTCTTAAATCATATTCCATCCCCGGCCTGTCGATCAGGGATTATCATCTATTATACATATATTAGAGCTTTGATCCAGGCTGTAGTCATTTAAGGGTAGAAATTAGCACAGTCTCATTCCTATGAGGATGATGAAAAAGGACGAAAACACTGAAGTTCACATCAATCTTTTCCAGAGATTTTGCCAAAGACAGCAAAAATTAGGATCACTCCAAAACAATAGAAATATTTACCTACATCATCTAACTTTTCTAATGAGTCATAAAAGATGCTACACTAGAAGCTTGGGACCAGAGCTTTGGCACTTGGGAAGGTAGGTGCTGCAAAGGCTGTTGGCAAACTTGGTAAGTCCTTGATTCTTGAGCCGCTGCATGTTGGTCCAGTCCTCAGGAGCAACTTACTGCAGCAACAGCCCTGTTCAAAGCAATAACAGCCACCAACAGGTCATTCCAGCAGCCAGGGAATGCCAAACCACAGTAGTGCTTGTCATTCCTCCTTTACCCCCTGGCCAACTGCCCTATGATGGAATCCCCGCTTAGCCAGTTAGGGTCTGTCTACACTGCAACCAAGAGGTGTGATTGCAGCATGTATAGGCAGACCTAAACTAGCTTTGATCAAACCAGCTCACTAAAAATAGCATTGAAGCTGTGGCAGCACAAGTGGAGGTCCCATGCAGGATTGGACGTGGGCTGGCAGGCTGTGGTGACACCATGTCTACAGTGCTATTTTGAATACGCTTGTTTGATCAAAGCTAGGTTGGGTGTGCCTATACCTGCTGCAATCGCATTACCCCATTGCAGTGTAGCGATACTCTTAAATCAACTTTAGGCCTGCTTTGGGAATGTGAGCTGTGCAAACCAGCCATCCAGCAGTGGCCAGAATCTGACCCTTGGTCGTTGTCCACTTGCAGCTCAACTGTTTAATTTGTATTACAAATGGTGCTAGGTACTTTTTATGTTTTAAGCGATGAATTGTCCTATGTAGGTATCATTCCACGTATAACTGCTCTTCCTGAACTTAACTCTTTTATTTTAGTTTCCATTTGTACCTATTCAAAACACTGAGACTATTTCTGACTAAAAGCATTTTTTGTGAATTTTAAATATGTACCCAGGGACACTATGCAATGTAAATATCTCAAATGTAAAAGAAATTTTAAGAGTGGTAGCTTCGTTCATTACTATGTGGATGAGAAAGGTGTACATGTTTTTAAAATGTGAACAAATGTCTTTTATAAAATGTGATTTATGGGGAGTTTTAACAGTCTGTAAGATAACAGGCCTTCACCATGTTAATTTATCTAAGTAGTCTGGATCCAAAAGGCTGAAGTTGAAAACCTGGTTTGATTTGTATACAAAAAAAGTTAGAAAACATGGAAATAAAGGACTGTACATGAATATCCTGTTTTGGAGTGTCTCTATGGTTACTGTGTCACTAGCTTTCCTGAATACCATGGAATGTTTCCTTCCCTGGGTTACTGTTGGGTAACACTGTAGATCAGTGGCGGTCAACCTGCGGCCCATCAGGGTAATCTGCTGGCAGGCCACGAGACAGTTTGTTTACGTTGACCGTTCACAGGCACGGCTGCCAGCAGCTCCCAGTGGCCGCAGTTTGCCATTCCCAGCCAATGGGAGCTGCGGGAAGTGGCAGCCAGCACGTCCCTACGGCCTGTGCCACTTCCCACAGCTCCCATTGACCAGGAACGGTGAACCACGGCCACTGGAAGCTGCAGGTGGCCATGCCTGCGGATGGTCAATGTAAATACTGTCTCGCGGCCCGCCAACGGATTACCCTGATGGGCCAGGTCCGAACCTCGGACCGCAGGTTGCCTATCACTGCTGTAAATTATTAAAATGTAAAGCACTTTTAAATCTCCAATTCACTTTGTACTAATTATGCTGTTTATTTGCATTTTGCATTTCACTGAGTTTAGCTAATGAAAATAGACCTTTCTCTATTGAATCTGGTTGTAGTTCATGGTAATTGTTGCTGACAGCAGGAAGATGTTGAAATCCAAATTAAAATGTTGCCATTTAAATAGTTAAAATTTAAAAAACATATCCATCGGTATCAGCTTTTCTAAAACGCTTAAAAAAAAACCTCAAGTGTGAGCCAACATCACATGACAGGGTACTTCCACTGTGGAAAGGAATCAAGTCTTTGAGATATGTCTGAGCTATGCGAGTTGGTCATCTATCATGGAAACTGATCCTGCACCGTTTAAGTGAATGGGAGTTTTGTCATTGGCTTCAATGGAAATAGGATCAGGTCCATATATCCTTCCTTCCTAATAAGTATTCCCTTCCCTTTGTTTTACTCCTGAGATGGTGGATTTCACAGACCATCACCTGCTGAAGACTGCCTAAAGTCACAACTTAGCCTCTAGCTGCGCTCACTCCTCCCAAGACTAAGCTTATTTGACCTACAAGTAATAAAAACTAACCCACCCCATTCCACTCCACTCAGAAACATGTGTGAGTGTGTATTTACACACACACACACACACTTGCAGATAATTGTCTGCTTCTCTGAGGTAAATTAGTCCATTTTTTTCTGTACAGAATATTTTTAGCCATATTGGCCTTTGACAGAAAGAGAATAAATTCCATGACTTTTATTCAAAGGCAAGTGTCAAGGAGATTGAATGGTGAGGTAGGGAACTGTTAAGATCAAGGGGACAGATTTCAAAGGCACTTAGGCCTCTAAAGGTGTAGGTAGTTGCCTAGTGGGATTTTCAAAACCATCTCAGTAGGTAAGGCACCTAAATCCCATTGACTTCAGTGAGACCTAGGTACCTAACCTCATTATGTGCTTTTGAAAATCCTACTATGTGCCTATCTGCATCTTTAGCCTCCTAAGTGCCTTTGAAAATCTGGCCTTTAAGTGACTGGTTTCAAATAAGGTTCAAGCAATTAGAGTACTGATCATCAAAATCACATCGCAGCCAGTGTTTCCCACCCTCCACACTCATCCTCATCCCAAGAAGAGTCCACCTTTCACTTTTAGGCTACCCATTCTAATCCAGCCCCAGATTGGCAATCGTTGAAATTCATGACTATTTGTATGGCTGTTTGGTGGCCACATGAAATGAATTGTGATCTCATTCCAGCTTCTGGTCAAGAAGTATCTAGGTCATAAAATCACCAGCACAATTGGTTCTAATTGTCACCTTTATGGTTGTTTCAACAGCAATTTCTAGTTTGAATGGTCCTGAAGCTGGAATTACCTTCCCTCCAGGACAGAATTGAGACACATTGATGAGGGAATGTGGGGAAACTTGCATTGCTTATGTCCATGCTGTACCTGTTCAGTGGATAATCAGCTTCATTCTCCAGGGGTGTTTATCTAGCATCTTTCATACGCCAGTTAATTAACTCTCAATTGGTGAACTTGATGGGGTCTGATTCTTCAGAAATGCTTTTCAACCACAACTTCAGAAGTCAATGGAAGTTACAGGTGCTCAGCACCACTGAAAGTCAGGCCCACAATGAAATACTTTTTAAAGAAAATAAGTAATTCTCACTTGAATGTCCAGGAATGGAGTCTGGTTTATTTTATTTTTTTAATAAAACAGCAATACAACTTCATAAGAGCTAACCACTGGGT